GTTTCTCCAGTCCAGGTGTCATTAGGTCAAAGTTAGCTGTTGGCTTGGTTTGGCTCTTATCTAAAGGCTCTAAGAGAGATTATTCAGGTTGTTTGTAGAATTTAGTTGCATACTGTTGACTAAGGTGCATGCTCCCTTGCTGGCTCAGCCAGGATTCATTCTCAGCTTCTAGAGCTATCCATGAAAACAAGCAATTATGGTTCAGGTCATTCTCATGCTTCAGATCTCTTTAACTTTTCCTTACGTTTCATCTCTCTTCTCACCTGTGAAAGTTCTCCACTTTTACAGCCTCATGTGATTCGATTGAGCCCACCCATGTAAATCCCGAAAAATCTTGGTATTTTTAAGGTTCTTAATATTAATTACATCTGCAAAAAGTCCTTTTTGCCATGTTGACAGCTTTCAGGTATTAGCACGTGGACATCTTTAGAGGCTCATTCCACCTACTACACCATCCCTGTCTCTTCTTTTCCCTTGAAGTTTGTTTATATAGTGATGTTGTTTTTCCTTTAGAATTTCCCACAATTTGGATTTTGCTGATCATATCCCCCTGGTGTTTTTTCGCATATTACCCTGTTCCCTGTATTGCCTAGAAATAAGATCTAGATTGTAAAGACATAATCAGATCAGGTAAATGCTGTGTTCTATCAGTAGACCCTTATATCTATGATTGTCTCTTGTATAGTGTTAGCAGCATTTGTGATCATCAACCCTAACTCCATTATTTCAGCAAGGATTACAAAATGGTGATATTCTTCTAGTTTTATCATTCCGTCTTCATTTACTTTATTAACTGCTTGGTTATGCTGAGGTACATTTCACATAGAAAAGGCTGGATAAAACTAAATTCTTCCCCTGTATTTTCTGGTTTTCAGAATGAGTTGGTTATCTACCAAAAGTGACCAGTTGCTTTTGTTTTTTCAATATGATTACTGACTCATCAATTTAATGTTTGAAATACTTCAATCCATTGTAGTTATTGTTCTCACTGATGCTCAAATATCCCCATGTTCGTTCAGTGGAAGCCCCCTGAGGTTGGCTCCTGAGTCCTTTTGATAAGACTATAATAGTATTTGATAGTGTCTGTGCTTTCAGTCTAACAAGATGTCCCAGCTCATCTTGTGCATGTTCTGCCTCCTATCCAGCTATTTCTCCATGGAGCTTACATTTCTTTAAAGGAACATGCTATTTAGATTACCACAATTTAGATACCGGGGATGGTCATTGTTACTGGTTTGGTCTTTGTTTCCAGGCTTTACTGTGGTCTGAGCTAGGCAATTAAAAAAAATCATCATGGTTTCATACTGACACTTCCAATTTAAATTCAGAACTATGGGATTTTAACTTAGCCTCACTTATCTATGCCCATCTCTTTCTTCTTTCTCCTATGCTTAAAAAAAGTTTTGTTGTTTCCTAGTGACATCAGCATATGTCTTATTTGTTTTATCTGACAATATACACGTTCAAGTTCTAACACAAAAATACAGCCGCCAATGATGACTGCTGAAAATAGTTTGAGGCTTTTTTAACATTATTTTTCATCTAATAAAATCTACCATGGCCATGTAGAGAAATATTTTTCATTCCTTTTTAGAGCTGCAGAGTAAGCTACCAGTCCGCCGTCAATGGAAAATTGGCTTATTTCCATTTTGTTGTTATTTCAAATATTGCCTCAATGAATAAGTCTTTTTTATGTTTTGGCCAGTGTATCCCTTGAACAGATTGTTAGAAATGAGATCACAAATTACACATGCAATTTTGCTGGATATTGCTAAATTCCTCCTCCAAGGGGTCTTGACATCATTGTGTTTCCATCAGGGTATGATATTGTTTTCCTATACACCCTATCCCATAGACTGTCATCAAATTTTAGAATTTTTGCTACTCTAATAGGTGATGAGTAGTATCTTAATGTAGTTTAAATACTTATTTCTCTTATCTTGAGCAATATTAAGCAGCTTTGGTTTAAGACATGTTTGCATATTTCTGAATTGTCCAAATCTCATGTCCATTTTAGTATCAGATTATTGTACTTTATTTTCAGAAGCTTGCTATAGTATTAAGGATAGTAACCCTTTGTTTATAAGTTGCCAGTTTTTTTCTCACTTTGTCATTTGTCTTTTTATGTATGGTTTTTGATGTGTGTTTTTGCCATTTAAAACTTTTTTTTCTATTTTTACTTTGTCAAATGTATTAACCTTACCCCCATTGCATATTTCAGACATAGTTAAGTATTTCCCACTCCCCTAGGTTATAGAGGAATTCACTCATGGTTGTTGTTGTTTTGCATTTTAAATCTCGAATCCATTTGAAATATATTATGTATGATGAAAGGAAAGGATCTAATTTTATTTTTCACATGACTGTAGGATTTACCCAGTATATCTATTAAAAAGTCTGTCTGTGGGGTGTCTGGCTGGCTCAGTCAGTGAAGCATGTGACTCTTGACCTGAGAGTTCTAAGTTCTAGCCCCACATTGGGTGTAGAGATTACTCAAAAATAAAACACAAAATAAATTAAATAAAAAGTCCATCTTTTCTCCAGTAATCTGAAGTGCCACCTTTGTTTTATGCTAAATGTAATTTATACAAATATTCATATATAAATTGTCCCATTGATCTCTATCTCTCTTTTTATTTGCCTGTTGTTTCCGACCTGTGCTTGATAACAAGGGAAATTAGGGACATATGAAGCCATAAAAGCTTTTAGGACTAAAATCCATTATGTAAATAGTTCTTAGATTTTTTTAAATGTTTGTTTATTCTGAGAGAGACAGACAGACAGAACATCAGCAGGGGAGGGGCAGAGAGAGGGAGGGAGATACAGAATCTGAAGCAGGCTCCAGGCTCTGAGCTGTCAGCACAGAGCCCAATGCACAGAGCTCAAACTCATGAACTGCAAGATCATGACCTGAGCTGAAGTTAGATGCTTAACCAACTGAGCCACTCAGGCGTCCCAGTAGTTCATAGGTTTAGTTGCTTTGTTTAAATGAGGGAAGTAAATTCATTTCTTTTGTGTGTAGCAAAGAAAATGTGAACCTAAGTGAAGAGAGAATCATAAAAGTAAATAGTCTAAACTTTTCTTTAAGAGACTTAAGGGGGTTTTGTGGGAAAGCAGCCTGATGTAATTAATGCATGAGTTCAATCTCTGGGGTCAGGATCCTGCCCCTCAGGACCTGCTTTGTTGTGGGCATGTTCTTAATTTCTCTGAGCCTTGGTTTCCTTACTTCTAAAATGGAAATAATAAAATCTTTGAGGGCTGTCATGAACACAGAAATATCTGCATGCCATCACCCTGCCTAGTGCCCCCACATAAAGGGCATTCAAGGAGTGTTGGTTCTCTTTTCTTTCCCTCCAGGGAAAAATGAATCTATAATTTTTATGGTGAGGTTTTCTCTGGCTAGTCATGAAAATAAGAAATGGTCTTAGCTTTACTGTGCAAAGCTGATTAAATAAAAAGGGTAGATGAGAAATCAAAGTTCTTTATTTCCAATTGCCCTGTACTTCTGCCGTCACTGGGCAGCAGCCTTCCCAGACTCGACTTTCAGACCGAAACAGGACAGGTGGGTTGACAGCAACCACAGGGGTTGCTGACTTCTACACCAGTGTAAGCCTGGAGGAGGAGAAATCCCGGAGAAGGGGCGAGAGCAGAGACAGCTGGCTTTTCTCCTCACAGTACAACATTGCTTTTGGTTTTCCAGTTCAAGAGAGGAGTCTGGCTTATGATACTCACCATTTTCAGAAAATCTCCTCTTCATCTTGAAAGCCCCTACCTCCCCTGAAGTTGAGAGATCTGTCCTTAGAAAGAAGAATTATCATCCGACACAATTTGGTTCTGTCCAGAGTGAAATAGAGATCTGAGTATTTTTCTGACAAAATGCTTTATTTTTTAAGATCCTCATATCAGATTTTCTTTCATAAGGTGCTATTTTGCTTTACTGAGCCTAATTTCACAATTGTCTATTTTATATTGTGATACAATATAGATATATTTAAGGAATTTGTTTTGAAAACATTTCAAAATCATTTTTGGAGTTTTTTTAAATGAATTATTGAAGCCCTAATCAGACTTCACTTCATAATTTTATTCCTTCCTTTTAAAGTAAACCCATTGAAAGTAGTTCATGCGATTCACAATGTTAAGAACTGTTATATGAATATGAAAAGGCACTACTAAAAATGATTTGATCAGTTTTCACACAACATTGATTAGATTACATTCATGCACCATTTGAAAGAATGTTTTCAAAAACATTTTCATTTAATTTTTGCAGCAGCATTGTTATATGTCAGATTGTTAACGATAGTTTATACTGAAGCCCAAAGAAGTTATATTTTAACAGGCAACTACAGTTTGAGACTAGAAATTCAGATTTCAACCCAGTATTCTTGCCACAGTGTTACAACTGAACTAAGTTCATAATCAGCAAAAACATTAGGTTTAGACATGCATACATATTAAACTTCCCATATTTAACATCACGTCAGATTTTCCATTGAATGAATCTTCTGCTTCATTTACAACATTCCATTTGTAACCTAGCTTAGTTTTCTTAATTAATATGAATAGCTAACTAGTCCTTTGGTATGTCCAAATGAGAACTATTAAAACTGTTATGGAATAATATTCTGGTAACGTGAAACCCTCAGAGAATCAGTCCTCACACAAAAGGTTAAAAAAAAAATAGGGGGGCTCAGTAGGTTAAGCATCTAACGATCTCTCAGTCCATGAGTTCGAGCCCCCCATCGGGTTCTGTGCTCTGGTTCTGTGCAGACAGCTCAGAGCCTGGAGCTTGCTTCAGATTCTATGTCTCCTGTCTCTCTCTGCTCCCTCCCCTGCTCATGCTCTGTCCCTCTGTCTCTCTCTCAAACACACATACACACACAAAAAAATAAGAACATTAAAAAAATTTTTTTAAACAAAGTTAAAAAAAAAAAAGGCAAAAATAGCACTGCTGGTTAAGAAAGAACTTAGTGCCCGTGTCTGGTTTTGTTTTCCAGGTGGCACTGCATGCTTGTGGAGCAGCAACGGACATGGTAATCGAGCACTGCATCAAAACGCGGGCTGCCTTTGTCACATGCCCTTGCTGTTATGGTTTCATTCAGAACACCTCAAAGTTTAATTTTCCAAAAAGGTGATATTTAGTGTTCTACCTAAGGCACAAATGTGGGGAATAAAGGGACATACCAAACTCACTTGATATAAAGTTGCAATGAGAATTCAGTTTTGAGCTCATTTCCTCTCTCTAGAGAGGCAGGTGTTATTTATAAGTTAGATACGGAAAATGCATCCTCCATGGCTCCTCCTTGATTTTTCTCTGGATCCAGCTCCAGAAGACACATTTAGAAGCAAGTCTGAGACTGAGCCGACTAGGAGTCTGATGGCTTTGGCATTTCTCACCACCAATGAGAGGCAGTGGGTATAGGGGTTACATGCGTAGAACCTGCAAGGCTTCTGCCTGGGTGCAAGAATTGGCTCCTCAGACTTTTATACATTGTTTCTCCTCAGGCAATTTTCCTTAAACTCTTTTTGCTTACCCTTCCTATCTACAAAATGGAGGTCATAACAGTAACAACCTCGGTTTGTGTGAGAATTGAATGATCTGAATGTAAAGCACTTAGAAGCAGCATAGGGTAGGCATCCAATAAATTGTGACCTGTTGTCAGTCACAGTAGTAGCAGTAGTATTTTAATCTATCTACCTACCTATCTATCTATTTTTATTTAAATCCAAGTTAGATAACACACAGTGTAGTCTGAGCTTCAGGAGTCGAACCCAGTGATCCATCTCTTACTTATGACACCCAGTGCTCATCTCAATAAGTGCCCTCCTTAATGCCCATTTAACCCATCCCCCTATTTTATTTTTTTTAAGTTTATTTTTTTAATTTATTTTGAGAGAGAGCTAGAGAGCAAGCAGGGGAGGAACAGAAAGTGAGAGGGACAGAGGATCCAAAGTGGGCTCTGTGCTGACAGCAGAGAGCCAGACGAGGGGCTCCAACTCATGAACCACGAGATCATGGCCTGAGCCCAAGTCAGACACTTAACTGACTGAGTCACCAGGAGCCCCTGATCATTTTTAAGATAGAATAGATTAAATATGTTAGTTTGAAAATTCTATCCCATGTGTCAAAAAAAAAAAAAAAAAAGGCTTGGTCATTTGCATAATTACTTTTAAGAAATCTTAGAAAATTTCCATCAGAATTTATAGTTAAAGGCTTCTGAGTAAAGTAACAAGGTACAAAAAATAGCCTTCTTTTACTTTTTGATTTTTTTTGTGTATTTCATTATTTTGTTCTTTACCACAATCTGTACCAGTTGAGAGAAAACCAAAGGAACTTTGGAAAAGCGAATAATAAAATATAACTTAGGGTTTATTGAATAGCTGAAATATCTCTTTATTCTGAACCTATACAGATAAAATGTTTCTTTCACAACCATCAAGAAATCTATGTCTAGCTCTATAAAGATTCTTAAGAATGCTAGTTTGAGTTATTCAGCCTGTAGTTTCACTTAATTGATTTTAAAATCTTACTTTAGCGTCTGTCAACATTTTCATATCTCTGTAGATTTATTGATATTTTCTCCTATTGTCATTGGAAAACCACTCGCAGGCCATTATCCCCCTGCCCTAATCACCCCAGGGTCAGGTACCAGACAACTGGGGGCAGCCCCTATCGCCAGAGCCACTGACATCATTCACGCTAGCCAGTCCTGAGCTTGTCCGTCCTGCTAAGCCATTCCTGCCTATGGAATTCCCTAACAAAGGCTCTTGCCCACATGTCATCCCACTCCCTCTGCCTTCTAACCAGTCTGGTGCTCTTCCATGTGGCCTGTGTGGGAACTGTGAGGAAAACACATGGCAGTCATCGCCTGATCTGTTGGCCTCACCACACCCGAAGAGCAGTGAAACCTACAATTTAAAGCACCTGGATCTGGGGCACCTGGGTGGGTCAGTCGGTTAAGCATCTGACTTCAGCTCAGGTCTCATGGTTTGTGAGTTCGAGCCCCACGTCCAGCTTTCTGTGCTGCCCACTTCAGATCCTCTGTCTCCTTCTCTCTCTGCCCCTCCCCAGCTTGCACGCTCTCTCTCTCTTTCTCTCTGTCTCTTTCAAAATTTAAAAAAAAGCATTTAAAAAAACAAACACCTGAATCTGTGTGCACCTATGTGGGAAAGAGAAAAACAAAATGGTTGTGTGTCTCTAATAGTCTAAACAATATTCGCAAAGTTCTTTAAAATTAATAACATACTGATGGTGTGCCTTTGGCTTTTTATAAAGACATTTCAAACTGGCATAGTTTTTAGTTTAGGATGGCATTATGTATTCCTCAGATAAAATATGTATTTTTGTTTATAGTTTCTTCTATATAGAAATATAGATGATTCTATTCCTAATATTTGGTTTCTCTACTATTTAAAATAATGACTCTTTTTCCTTTTCTATTTCAGTGAACAATTCAAGAAAACTTTATCGTACAAGGTAACCTTAAAAAGTTCTAGATGTCTTTAGAATATACTTTTTATTCCTTTATATATTTCCCCTCTCAAATTTCTAATGGGATATGTAATCTATAGTTATCTTGGAGTTACTCATCAATATGTAATATGGGGTATGGGGGACGCTTTGTTTTGGGGTGGTATTTTTTGTTTTGCAAATCAAGATTAATGTCCAAGTAGGTGTGAGATTTGCGAGAGGTCTGAGCGTTTACCCTGCAAGCTAACTTGTGAGCCTGCCACAGTGCCGTGAAGGCTGGCAGAGAGGAGACTTCCGAATCACAGACGCAAGGTAGCGGCCGGACTATCATCATTTTTGCATTGACCTCCCGAGACCCAGTTCCCCCTGGACAGCATGAAACAGGCCAGGTGACCCCTACACACACAGTGAGTTCCATTACAGGAGAGGAAAACTGAGCTCAGGAAAGCCAGGTGTTTTAAGGTGTAATTTTAAGCAGGCATTCCTGCCCTTTGCTCCGGAGGGACACAGTGTGTTGTTTCCAAAGCTGCTCCCTATACAGATGTCTTTGAGTCGATGATCTAGAACACAGGGAAATTTTTCTGTAAAAGTCAGCTGGTTATAAATATTTTAGGTTTTGTCCGCCACTTAATCTCCCATCCATTATACTTTGTCCTGGTCATTGTTGTTGCTTTTCTTGGTGGTGGTTTATGATCCTTTAAAATTGTAAAGACCTTTTTGGGGGGCACCTGGGTGGCTCAGTCCATGAAGCATCCGACTTCGGCTCAGGTGATGATCTCACAGTTTGTGAGTGCGAGCCCCCCATCGGGCTCTGTGCTGACAGCTCAGAGGCTGGAGCCTGTTTCGGATTCTATGTCTCCCTCTCTCTCTGCCCCTCCCCTGCTCATGCTCTGTCTCTGTCTCTCTGAAAAATAAATAAACATTAAAAAAACATTTTAAACTGTAAAGACCATTTTTAAGTTGAGAGCCATACAAGAAGAGGTCATAGGTTGGATTTGGCTTACAGGCCACCATTTGCCACCCCCTGGTCTAGAACCAAAGCAGCACCTCTACTCATAATGCATGAAGAAACACAAGAGACCCACAGAGAATTGTCTGTCAACAGTAGTCAGAACATTACAGAGTTTTGAGTCACCAATCTGAGCAAAACAGATTTCTGGCTTTCTGAATATCACCAGTAGCTAACTAATTGGTCCATAACGTGACATAATGCAATCTAAGAAATGGGAATGAAATTTGCCAGAAATACATGAATAATCCCATTAAAACTTCATAAACTAGTTTAGATTCTTAGTTCACTTCTTGCACAGACTCACTAAAAATACATAGCCTCATTTTATGTGCTAGCACCCATCTTTCAAGATTTTTTTCCTTCTCCATCCAACAGTGAAGTAGTGAGGGACTACTTCTATCACATTGGCACATATATCTCCTTCAACCTGGTTTATAACCCTTAAACATGTACCTCCAGCTCTGTCTCCCACCCTCTCCTTTCCCCCTCTTGCCCCCACATCTGAGGAACTTGAAGTGCTCATGCTTTCATCCAGAACCAGGCTTTTCCTTCCCTTCTGAAATTAAAGTCTGTATGTCTTGGGGAACTACCAGGTTTTTAGGGAGACATTAGGACCCCAGGAATTTTATTTTCATAAGATTCAAAACACTTTACCTTTCTCTTATAAGACCCTGGCAGTACAGTGGACAATGAGTTGAAAAATAAACTCAAATTAGGCCCCCATTTTTAATCCATCTTTGAGTGACACTAACTAAAAGCAAACTGAGAGGATGTGTGGAAAAAACCTAGGGCGATGAAGAGGTAGGATGCCACAGTCTCACGGGCTAGAGAAGAGTATAAATTTTGTAAAGAATAGAGACAGGGCACTCAGTCTCTTCCAGAGAAGAGAAAACTCACTGGTACCCAGTTCATCCTTGTCTCCTCCTTCTCCCACACCCCCAAAGGCTGCTTGGCCACCAGCCCTTTTGAGGGCCTCAGGTATAAAGGCTCTGGAGAAAAGTCTCAGCTTCTTGGATACTGTGGCAAGATGGTATCTCAGTATTTCTTGACTTAACCCTGATGGATGGCCTGCCAGCCAGAAGTAATGGATGTCTTAGCCAAATATATTGAGAGTCACTCTGGCAGTATTTTTCTCCACAGTTCAGTTCAGCCAGCAAACCTTTACTGACTTCCTACTATGTGCTGTCCCCTTTCAGAGTTTAACGACTGTGGGGGAGAACACACACACAAATAATTCCAGCAAATCTGGTGAGGCTTATCAGGACAAGAGAAACAAACCCTATCTGAGATGATTGCCTCACCATTAAGTGACTCTTAGTTTTCAAATGCAATCAAGACAAAGGGCATGCTTTTTCTTGCCTTCTCTTCAAATTACATCATTCTAAATCCTTCTTGTGCCCCTTTGTTGATGCCAGTTCATGGCTGCTAAATAAAAGTTATTCACTTGAACCATTTTATTAGCATCCTACCCATTGGCCACTAAATTTTATAATGAGCATTACAGTGTGTTTTTTTAATGCATAAAAATTGAGACAGAGGTAACCCTTCAAAAAGACCTAACATCACACAGTCACTTCAATTACCTTATGAAAAAATGGAGGCCTCGAATTGAATGTACAAAAGACTAAGTTAGGGACAAAGAGGGATCGGAGTTCAACCTTTTGCGAAGCTGACAGGTGAGATCATTTACACCCTTGGAAACTGCAGCTGTTCTGAATGAACAGTTGTCACGGGAGCACTGCAGTCCTCTCACTCTGCCTGATCACTCACCTGTGGCTGCTTGCAGATTTCAGAATGCCTTGCAGACTCGTCAGCTCTCTGCCTGCCGCCATAGAGTCTCGTTCTTTTTGCATGAATGCAGTCTTTCCCAACATTGTTAAGCAGAACAACTCTCCCTCCCACTCTCTCAAGTCATCCGTATGGTTGGCTTGAAACCAGAAATCGATATGGCTCCGGAAGCCTTTTGGAGTGAGAGGAGAGTGAGTGAGCCGGCCTCCTCTCCTCCAAAGGGACATGGGAAGAATCCAGAAAAGTGTAGGAGTAGCCGGCACTTTGCTGGGTATCCTGGAGAACTACAGAGACCACAAACGATGATGATCTTCTACAGTACGTCCTTTTCCTTCAGTAATAGGAAGAAAAGCCACTTAGACTGTCTTCTTAGAGCCACATTCCTGAGATTCAAATTTTATTACAGGAAAAATAGAAGTGAACTTTAGGTCTTTTAGTTTAACCACATGATAGTCACAAATTGTGACCATATTTGAGCTAAAAGCAACTGGTGAAACGGCCCTGAGGATTCTCCTTGCACCTGTTCGTAAGAACTTCATCTGAAAAACAGTCTGCTTGAAGGGAAAAGGTTATTGAGTGCCATTTTCTGAAAATGTGTTTCCTTTAGCAGTATCACGTATGCAGTACTTTATTCAATTAAAAATGAGGTGGCTTTTATAATTTTCACAATGTTGAAGCAGAAGAATAAAACAGACTCGCATTCTATTGCTTTTTCTTTTAGGAACACATGATTCTGTGCAGATTTGCGGATCAGACAGCTGTCCAGCTTCCAGCGCAGCGAAGGCTCATAGGTATGTGTTTTCACAGAGCAGCTGGTGAGTAGATTATGCCTAGGAACGAATGGACTGGCTCTATCTGGAGAAAACTGGTCCATTTATCAACAAGGAACTAAAGTTTGTTTTTTCCAAAAAAGGCCATCCATATTGAAAAGGGCTTTGTGACTGTAAGAGTATTTTATCCCATTTTTGTTAACATTAATACTTTTAAATTCATTTTCAATATTCGTACATTGTGTAGAATTATGTCCTTACTGTTATGAACAAACTGAAGGATCTGTCAAAGGCCACAGAGGAAAATAATAAAGATGGGAAAATCAACTATGCATGCCAAAATTAACGCATTAAAAAATATATAAGCAAGGATGATAAAGTTTTCTTTCTTGGTAAAAAGTTATGCTTATGTATTACTAATCATAGACCAGTTTATTGGACATCTGTAATAGTAAACATTACCATGGAATTGGAAGACCTACAATAACATTGCAAGTTTAAATAATGAATTTATCCAAGACTTTGTTTTAACACAAGAAATCACATTTAGAAGGACAATAGTGGCTAACAGTGCACATTTAAGCACTGAGTGAAATGCCCTTCCCATTATCTCAGCAAATTCTAATGAAAATACTTTTGGGATATGTACTATTATTTAGACTTTACAGATGAAGGAACTAGGACAAAAGCCTGTCCAGGATCCTTTACCCAGTAGGTGATGGAGTCACACTATGAACCCAAAGTATTTGATTCCAGACATGAAGCTCCTATCCACTTTTGCAATGCTTCCCAGTGCTGGAGTCCCATCACTGGAAGGCAGGGTTGCAAAATTAGGGCATGAGATGATTGAGTGGAATCAAAAATAAAGCCCCACATTGGAGGCCATCATAGTATATTGGAAAACAGATGGCTGTTTCTTGGCTGGGCACCAGATGTGGTAATTAGCTTGCATCCAGGGACTGTATTGTATGAGAAGCAGTTATCTTTAAACTCTAAAGTCAAAGTCAGCATAGCAAGATACACATTTAGAGAGGCATTTGAGACCTGAGCCTGAAGGAAGAAGTGATTTCCTTCTCCTTCTCACACTCTGGAGCATAAACATATGGGAAAAGCTCTTCCTCTTTCCTGCCTGCAACCTCTGTCTTCTTCCCATTCTTTTTCTCTCCTCTCTTCCCCATTGCCAACACTTTGACTTTGTCAAGTGTACATTTTGAATGTTCAGGGAGCGCTGGAAGGTTAAGTTGCTGGAGTTGAACAGGAGGAGTGGCGTCTGGCATGATCACTGGTATGAGGCAAGGGAAAGTCAGGTTCAAAGTCATAGACTCCATCAAATGTCAGCATCTGTACTTTGCATGGGCCATACTTTTGTTCTATGAACATTGTAGGAAGCTTCCCAGGGCCCAAAAGGTAGATTCCCAACAATCGAATTTCAGTTGTAAAGATACTTCAACATGTGAAAACATGAGATTCTTCTACGTAATAGAAAAGGAAAAATTAACTGGACTGGGATCAAAGCCAAGGATAAATGAGCTGCAGTGTAAGCCCAGGGTGGGTACTGAAGGAATGCAGGGCATCTATACTGACAGAGAATGTTTCATTTTAAACTTAAGAGTAGATGGGTGTGGGGGGAACCTTTACAGATGTCTTAAAGGACAAACAGTATTTTAAGGGAAACAATGTCAGCCACAGGACCGTTGATGAATAGAGGGTGATTTCACCTGCATGGAATTCAAGACATCTCTCTTTATATCATTTCATTTCTAACATAGTGCATCCTTTTTGGCGTAGGGGCTTTTAAGGTAAAAGGACAAAATAAACAGTTTAAACCTGAGTGTCTCATTGCCAATTCTTACCTACTCATTTCCCCTTCCTTGGTTTTCCTGTGAGGGTTTTTCTGTCTTCCATAGAACTTCTCTGTTTCAGTTATTTGGCTTCACTACTGAAGCTGCATAAGTCCAGTAGTTCCTGCAGACATTCAAGTAAAGTATTTAAAAATAATGTTTAGTCATTATTATAATTAGGGAAAATGGAATGAAGTTCTGCATAGTCAGTAACCTCTTGGAGGATGAAATTCATGTATTGAATTTAAAGGAATTGAAATGAATAAAAGTAAACCATAGCTTTGAACGTATTCAACTTCAAATCATTTTTATTTCCAGACCTACCTTTAACATAGAAATTAGCATTTGCCAAAGGAACACAAATTAGCTGCTTTGCTTGCCAGGCAGATTTTCTCTTTTGTTTTCCAAAGATTACAAAGAAAACCGAATACCACTCTTTTATAGGGATGCAAGAGTTCTGAAAATTGATTACATTATACTCAACCTGAAAGAACCAACAGACTATTAAGAATTTTCGCAAATATTTTCTGTTTCTCGTTTTTCCTTGTCCTAAAAATTCCACTTTCAAATGTATTATGTCTCTCAGGTGACTCATAGTCAGCATGATACTTTAGCACTTTAATTTTTTTTTAATTTTTTAAAAATATTTTTTATTTATTTTTGAGAGAGAGAAACAGTGCGAGCAGGGGAGGGTCAGAAAGAGAGGGAGACACAGAATCCAAAACAGGCTCCAGGCTCTGAGGAGCTGTCAGCACAGAGCCTGTCACGAGGCTTGAACCCACGGACCATGAGATCATGATCTGAGCCAAAGTTGGACGCTTAACTGACTGAGCCACCCAGGCACCCCTCAGCATGATACTTTAAGTATTATTAAAGATAGATGCCATTTTCCCCTAATACTACAGGTAATATATTTTCACAGGAAATGCAGAGACCAGGTCTTAAAATGTATTTCTAGCCAAAGTGGGAAATAGGATCTGTAGTCTATATTTAAGGTTTATTTATGAATACATATTAAAAAGTAAACATTCTCTAAGTCATCAGCAGACATAAATCTGTGAAAAGTCATATGTAATTGTCTTGTGTCCATACCGATCAAGAATGAAGTTGAAAGAGACCAAAGAGGACTTGGGAGCATATAGCATTCCCCAGGTACTTGTAGATTTTATCACTGTGTAGAGTCCCTTAGACAAACTGAAATTGAATTGTTCGATGTAGGATGTCTCATGATACCATTTTACTGTATTTCAGGAAAACAGTGCATGTGCCTGGTGGATCTGGATCGAGCAAGAGCTGCAGAAGAACGTGGTTACTCGGTTCAAGTAATATCCATGGAGCCAGAGAGCTGCTCTCCCAAAAATAACATGATCGTGGGAGTCCCCATTTAGGAGGAGATACTCACATTTGATGTTTTGCCATCCGTCTTCATGATGAAAGCCCAGTGGCACTTAGGAGGTTCTTGGCATAGCTAGCAAACAGCATTAGCCATCTTGAACTGATTGTGCTCAGGAAGGAAAGCAGCAGGAAAATCATGGAAGAAAGGCTGCCTGCAAAGCATCACAAATGCTCTTGTAATGTATGATTAAGGACTGCTGGTTTTCATGGTGAGAATCCCCTGAAGTCTCAGCTGCCAACAGAATAATACTCAGCAGTGGAAGTTCCATCCCTGGAATAACAATTTCCTTCTCAATTCCCAGCTTTTCTGATCTTGCCAATGTGATGTTCGGTTCAGAACAATTAATCAAAGCCATTGTGAGCATTGCAGCCTTTGTAATCATTTAGATATTCAGATGGAGACCAGAACTAGATTCGGCGGGATTTACTGGTTGGTGGGTTGTATTTTTAACAATTGGACTTTTTCTATAGTTTTTAAAAATATTTCATCAGGCTATTACAGTATAGTTAACTTTTTAAGCTAGAGTGAGTTGGATTTGTATCTCATTTCATATACTTCCTTGAATATATTTCCCATGAATTACCAAATGAGATCATTACCGGTTCAAACATTTAATATGAAGACATAAAATAATCGCAGCAAATTTCTCATTATGGAAACGTGTAATTTGGACATAAATTCTAACTAACCAGTAAATACATTGATCAATTGATTCAAGTTTGTAAATAATTATTGAAGATCCATTATTTTCAAGATCTGACCTACATTCTTCTAAGGGCACAAAGATGAGCTATAAGAAACAAGATAGTTTGCCTATGGAAAAATCATGGAAAAGAAAAATTAATGAATTAGTTAAGTTCTGTATGTCATAATATAATGTATGGTCACAAGATTTGTTTTTGAGGTATCATATCTTTTAGTTACATTATTTTGGTAAGACTTATTGAATATCGATTGAATATAGTGCAGAGTTTGGAAGCTTCTTTGAATATTTCTCCCTTCTCACATTCTCCTTATTCCACCAGCCACAGTTTTTAAAGACAGGTGGCATTTCCTTTCTCACATGCTGCTAATTACTTAGCTTTTACATGTCTTGGGTTATTCCATTTGAGATGAGATTTATTTCATTGATTTTGATGTTTTCAACCCCTGTATGACACATGCCAAGAGGAAAAAGGACTTTAATAAACAACTCTTTCCTCAGTGTGGGCTAAAATGCAGGAATAATTTATTCAGGGGAGGGAGGGCTGAATTCTTGTTTTCTGAGATGAAATTTAAGAAAAGAATTAATCTTTTAGAGTAAGCCCTGAGTATTTTATTCATTTTTACCTAGACGTACCATGCTCTTTTATCCTGGGCTTTCTTTTTTAAATGGAAGTATAACTTACAGACAATAAAATAACAGGTTTTAAGAGTTTAGTTTGAGAAGTTTTGACAAACTGCCATGTAACTGCTGCCAGAAATAAGATATAGGGTATTTCCACGAGCCCAGAAAGTTCTCTCATATCTCTTTCTGTTCAGTTTCACCTACCCCACAGGCAACTTCTTTCTGATTTCTATCACCCTCTATTTTTTCTGCCTATCTTCATCTTTCATATAAATGAAATCATGTAGTATGTAGTCTTCTGACTCTAGCTGCTTTTGCCCAATAGGATATTTTTTGAAAAACACCCACATAGATGTGTATCAATAGTTTCTTCCTATTCTTAAGTAATATTCTATTATATAAATTTATCAGAATGTATTTATTCATTCTCCTATTGATATTTATTTGGATTATTTCCACTTTGAAAATATAAATAAGGCCTACAAATATTTTTGTACAAGTCTTTTTGTGGACACGTTTTCATTTCTCTTGGATAAATACCTAGTGGTAGAATTGCTGTGTCATTGAATAAATGAATGTCAATTGCCAAACAATTTTCCAAAGTGGTTGTACCATTTTATATTCCCACCAGCAATATATAAAAATTCTAGTTCCTCACATCCTCATAGCATTTGATATTTTGGCCTTTTTTTATTTTAACCATTCTAGTGGACATGAAATAGTACCTCATTGTGGTTTTAATTTTCCTTTCTCAGATGACTTACTGATATTAAGCATCATTTGTAAAGTGAATGTTTAAGTCTTTTACTCATTTTTAAAATTAGATCAATTGTCATTTTTTATTGTTGGTTTATAAAGGATTCTTTATATATATTCTGGTTAAAAGTTCTTTGTCAGATATATATATTGAAAATGTTTCTCCCAGTCTGTGGCTTACCTGCTCATTTTCATAATAATTGCTTTAATTTTCAGAAAGCCTAATTTAAGTGTTTTTACTGGCTAATGTTTTCTGTGTCCTCTATAATAAATCTTTACCTACTCTGAGATTATGAAGATTTTTCCTATGTTTTCTCATAGAAATTTTATGGTTTTAGCTTTTTACATTTAGGTCTATGATCCATCTCATATCAATATTCACATACAGGTAGTTAGGTTTTGAGGAATATACATTCGTTTTAGCACCATTTATTTAAAAACCTTTTTTTTCCCTTTGGATTGACTTGGTATCTCAGTTGAAAATCAATTGGTATATATGTATGTCTATGAAGCTTCTAGTCTGTTCCATTAATTTGTTTGATTACTGTAGCTTTAAAGTAAAAATTTTCTTTTTCTTTATAAAAAGATTTTAAGTTATCTCTATACCCAATGTGGGGCTCAGACTCACAACCCTGAGATCAAGAGTTGCACTCTCTACTGACTGAGCCAGCCAGGTGCCTCACCAATTTTATTTTTCATTGTCCACATTGTTTTGTTGTTCTAGATCCACTGTGTTTCCATATAAATTTTTTTTAATTGGCTTATCAATTTCCTTAAAACAAAAATAGCCTGCTGGGATTTTTGGTATTGTCTGGAATCTTTAGATCAATTTAGGGAAAATGAACACATTAACAATACTGAGTCTAATAATCTATAAACATAATATATCTTTCCATATATTTAGGTCTTCTTTAGTTACTCTCACTAATGTTTTATGATTTTCAATATAGATGTTACATTTATTATTTTTTTAAAGCTCATTTATTCTAGCTTTATTTTTTTAAATTTTTTTAATGTTTTATTTATTTCTGAGAGAGAGAGAGAGACAGCGCAAGCAGGGGAGGGTCAGAGAGAGAGGGAGACATAGAATGCGAAACAGGCTCCAAGCTCTGAGCTAGTTGTCAGCACAGAGCCCGACGCGGGGCTTGAACCCACACACCGTGAGATCATTACCTGAGCTGAAGTTGTGCGCTTAACTGACTGAGCCACGCAGGTGCCCCAATGTTATATTTATTATTATTTGATAGTTTTGATGCCATTACCTTAAGTCTTTACATGTTGTTAATGTACTACTCAGAATAGCCTCCTCTTATCCCTCCCATTAACTTAAGCCCATTCACACTTCTGATCTTAGACCTGACCTCCCAAGGGAAGCCTTTCATAACTTCCCTGGAGTTAGGTACCTGCTACAGAATGGGTACCATCCAGAAGAGTCTTCTTCATCCACTCCAGTTGACTCAAAGCACCCTTCCCAAAGCCCACATGTTAAGTATGGCGAATAAAAAAGGAGGTGACTCCACTGTTTTCCCACCCTTGTTCTCAGGCATGAAATTCTCCAACTGCGATGGCTGCGGCCAGTCATACATAAGGGTATTAATGATTGCCCTTAGAACACGAGTTTTCTGTGTAAATCCTTTCCAAGGCTCCTTCTCAGCCAGGGCAAATAAAAGAGGTTGGATGCTGGCAGTAGGAAGGCTGTGCAATGACAACAATCCCGGCAAGTGACCTGGTTTCACCCCTACACTTGTCGATCAAAAGCAAAGCTGCTCCTCACTGATCTCTCTTCCCCACAGTTGTAATATTAGAAGCCAGAGATCATCTTTCATTGACTTTCAAGACTGACTCAGAGATAGAGAAATATAATTATTAATGACTAAACAATTTTATCTTATTTAGGGAGACATTTCAGATGTATTAGAAACCAAAATATTTTTGGAGCACATATGCAGAATAGCATGTGAATAACAATAATTAAACATTTCATCTCATTCTCAAGATTTTGGCTGCAGGTGTTACCCACTCCATGGTTCAAGAAAATTGCCATTAATAGAACTTCCACATATGCTTGTTTTTCTATTGGTTTTCCTAATAAAATTAGAGATATGTTCCTGTGGAAGCAATATAATTAAATCATTAAAAAGGAAGCAATAATTTTTTTAAGTTACAATTTTAAAAAACAGATGCTCGGAGTGCCTGGGTGGCTCAGTCAGCTAAACATCCAACTTTGGCTCAGGTCATGAACCCAGGTTCGTGGGTTCCAGCCCCGTGTCAGGCTCTGTGCTGACAGCTCAGGCCCTGAGCCTGCTTCAGATTCTGACTCCCTCTCTCTGCGCCTGCTCCTCTCGTATTCTGTTTCTCAAAAATAATTAAATATTAAAAAAAATTTTAAACAGTCTCTAATACAAAGTAGGTAGGCATTTTTTTTTCATGTTTATTTTTGAGAAAGAGAGAGAGAGCAAGCAAGTGGGCCATGAGCAGAGAGATAGGGAGACAGAGAATCCGAAGCAGGCTCTGCACTGTCAGCACAAAACCCAACGTCGGGCTCAAACTCATGAACATGTCGGGCTCAAACTCAAGACCATGACATGAGCTGAAGTCAGAGACTTAGGTTATTGAGCCACCCAGGTGCCCAGTAGTCAGGCATTTTTGAATAGCTATTTCTTATACACCAGAGATACATGTCTTTTGAAGAAAAACTAGAAAACACAGCTATACAAGAGGAAAAAATTTTAAATCACTGTTAATACTTTGTTTTTATCTTCATAGACTTAGCTCTATACACACACAGACACACACACAGAGATTTATTTAACAAACACTAACACAGTATTTAATATTTGCTAGGCACTATTCTAAGTAAGTCCTTTGTTATTAATAACTCATTTTCAATCCTCATAATGACACTAAGATCTAGATACCATTACTGATCTTATTTTATACAAACTAAGGCCAATGTTTCATAGTAGAGCAGACCCAGATATGAACTCAGCTAGCAGTTGGCAGAGCTTAGAATCTATTTCAGGCTCTTTAGCAATCCAATTGGGATAGGCTAAGATATGCTACAGTAACAAAATCTCTCTGCCTTTTGAAGTTCTACATAAGAAAGATGTACTTTTTACTCATACCCATCCAAACCAGCTGTGACTCTACACCACGTTATCTTTACACCTGACCAAGAAGCCTTTTAGGAAACTAGGTGGTCTTGGGGAAGAGGAAAACAGACATGGCAAACTAAATGGCTACTAAAGATTCTGCTCAGATGTGATACACTTCACTTCCCTC